TCATGGTGGTTCAGAGCTCCCAAAAGTGAGTGTCCCAAGAGAGAGAAAGTCCTCTTAAGGACTAGGTCTAGAATTGTCACAACGTCACTTCCACTACACTCAAGTGGTTAACAGGAGTCGCAACCCAGCCCATACAAACGTTGGGAGGAACTAACATGTGAGCGTCACTGGCGGGAGGTGAGGTGCACTGGGGCCATCTCTGGAGCCTCATCCCCAGAAGCTGGGGAGAAAATGCGGAGCATCACTGCAGCCCTCATCATGTGTGTGGTTCCCGGGGCGGGGAAAGCTATGCACACCTTCCTTACTCTACCACCCATTCCATGTTCCCTTTGCCCCCAGACAGCACTAGGTAAAAGGTTTTCCTGGGGGACCTGAATCTTCACTGGTGCTGCCTTTTGGGGCTTGCTATGGCTTCCCACTGACTTTTATCTCTGAGCATGGACCAAAGCACCTCAGAAACACCAGGGAACTCAGGAATCTCCCCTGTCCCCGCTGTACAGCAGCAATCCCTTGTCCCTTAGTGATGGGGGTCGACTGATTCCAGCCGGTACAGGAAACCCCGTCTTTGCCTGTCGGTTCAGTGCACTGAAGAACCCAGGGGGCCAGCTGCTCTTCTATGTTATACCGCATTCTCCTGCCCAACGAAGCTGTTGGGCTCAAGGGAGGTCAGCGTGGAAAGTGTAGAGTGTGGCCTCTATGTAAAAGGTACTTATTCTTTTCTGTAGAAAGTCCTCTCCTTCCACACAGCGAACATTTCAAAGCTTCACTACTCACATCTTCTTTCTAGCCCTTATTCTCAGTGAATGATCTCACCTGTTTCACCTTTCTCGGCGTCCCATCCCAAGCTTCTTCTCCAGTTTAGAAATTAATCTGCAACCCATGCCTATCCTTACCCCTTTTTCTCCAGTCACAATAGAAGATTCTTGATGAGGTACCTAAAGCAAGTGTGCTGGCCTCCCGACATGGCACCTAACCCACTGGATTATGACCGCTCATCGCTCCGTATCCCCACAGATGGCAGGAGCTGGAACAATCCCTGACACATTCTAGGCAATAAGCATGTAACTGGCTGCAATTATGTCATTTCCATGACTGCATAGTTCCTTAGCTACTCAAGACAAAATACTCAATTTAATATTAAAGTGTCATTTAGTTTATTTGTAGTTTAATTTTAAAGCCAGCGGAATGTGTGTGTGTGTGTGTATTTTAATTGCCATCCTACTAAGTAGATAACCAGTAAAGTATTAAGTTTTTAAAATGCATATTTAAAAGTCACCTAAAGAGGTTTTCCAACACATCTTCTAGGCAAGGAATAAGACTCAAAGTTTTTTCATTTAAAAAATATTCATGAGCTCTTCCTGTCTCTCATGATGGCGCAGGATCAAGGCAAAAAGGAGAACCCCATGCAGGAGCTTCGTATCCGCAAGCTCTGCCTCAATGTCTGTGTGGGGGAGAGTAGAGACAGACTGACCTGGGCAGTCAAGGTCCTGGAGCAGCTCTCAGGCCAGACCCCTGTGTTCTCCAAAGCTTGATACACTGTCAGATCCTTTGGCATCAGGAGAAATGAAAAATTGCCGTCCACTGCACAGTCCGTGGGGCCAAGGCAGAAGAAATCTTGGAGAAAGGTTTAAAGGCGTGAGAGTACGAGTTACAAAAAAATAATTTCTCAGATACTGGAAACTTTGGTTTTGGGAACCAGGAATACCTCAATTTGGGGATTAAATATGACCCAAGCATGGCTATCTATGGCCTGGACTTCTATGTGCTGCTGGGTAGGCCAGGTGTCAGCATTGCAGACAAGAAATGCAGGACAGGCTGCATTGGAGCCAAACACAGAATCAGCAAAGGTTACAAAAAAATAATTTCTCAGATACTGGAAACTTTGGTTTTGGGAACCAGGAATACCTCAATTTGGGGATTAAATATGACCCAAGCATGGCTATCTATGGCCTGGACTTCTATGTGCTGCTGGGTAGGCCAGGTGTCAGCATCGCAGACAAGAAACGCAGGACAGGCTGCATTGGGGCCAAACACAGAATCAGCAATTAGGAGGCCATGCACTGGGTCCAGCAGAAGTATGATAGGATCATTCTTCTTGGCAAATAAATTCCCATTTTTATCCAAAAGGCCAATAAAATTTTTTCAGTGAAATGTAAAAAAAAAAAAAAAATTCATGAAATCACTATATCAAAGAGATACCTGGACTCCCATGGTCATTGCAGCATTACGAACCATAGCCAAGACATGGAAGCAACTTAAGTACACATCAGCGGATGAATGGATAAAGAAAAGGTGGTATATCTATACAATGGAATACTATTAACCCATAAAGAAGGAAATCCTGTCATTCGCAGCAACACAGATGGACCTTGAAGGCATTATGCTAAGGGAAATACATTAGACAGACAATGCTATATGACCTCACTTATATGTGGAATCTTTAAAGAAAACCAAACTCATAGAAAAAGAGATCAGATTTGAGATTGCCAGAGGCAATGGGTAGATGGCGAGAGAATTAAACAAAGGCAGTCAAAACGTGCAAACTTCCAGCTATGAGATAAATAAGCCCTGGAGACAGAATGTACAGAATAACTAGTTCACAATGCTGTATTGTACATCTGAAAGTTGCTGAGAGAGTAAACCCTAAAAGTTCTCAACACAAGGGGAAACAATTGTAACTATATGAGGTGATGGATGTTAACTCAACTTATTGTGGTATTCGTTTCACAATATTTACAAATATCAAGTTATTACGCTGTACAACTTAAACTTATGCAGTGCTGTATGTCAATTATATCAATAAAACTGGAGAAAACTTTTTTTAAATACTCACATCTGACGAGAAGTACTACGTTCCTCAAAAACTTACCAAATACCACTTGGTTAAAGATCTCTATAACAGTTCAAAGAAAACCTACAGAGTATATAATTCATGCTTTACACTATTACCTACTTCCTGTATTTTCACTCCTTGCTTGTTAAAGGTCTAGCTCTAAGGGTTCAGAATTTTTATCAACTCAGACACAATATTCTCTGCATGTATTTTTTTTATTCCCAAGTTTCCTCTTCCCTGTTGGATTACTGGTGACACAAGGAACATTAAGGTAAATGAGGTGGTGAAAGAGAAATCAACATGTCAGTAGAAAGGTGATCGGAAACCGCTGACCCCTAAGAAGTAGGTCATTCTGAGCACCCCTGGGTAGACGGCTGTTCTGTGTTGTTGGGTTCACATACACATCACCTGATGGCCTGAGGCGGTGGGCATTAAATCACAAAAGCCTAGAATAAGGAGTGTTGGTCAAACGAATAGGCCTGATCCTGACATCCCGGAGAACCTTTCAGATGGGGAAGCATTTCCAAAGTGAGCAATTGTTTTACAAAGATCTGACAATGAATTTTTTCTTGCCTGTACATTTTATCTATAAATAATAACAAAGATAAAAAGAAGCACTTATATTTTCCTACCTTTTACACTCATTCAATCTAAAATAAAATTTCAAATCCACTAGGACCCAGGTGCTATCACTATATATCGCAGTCCATCAACCCAGAGTTGCCCCAACTTCCCTGGTATCACAACCATCCGCCTACACGGTCACACGTGGCTGGCGATGCAGCTTCGAGAGATATCCCTGATCAAATGTATTATGCTCAGTCACTACCTCCCAGGAATAAATCAGGTCATGAGGCAAAAGGACAAACGTCGAGTATAGAGAAAAGGTAGAGTATGGAAAGTACTGGAAAGTTGAATACTTGAAATAGGCTGGGCTAACAGGGTAGTCAATGGGAGGGAATTTAATGAGCCATCCCGAAAACAGGAGAGGCGAAAAGGTTAGGATGGACTTCTATAAGAAATTGAAAAAAAAAAATGTATAACGGGGTCAAAGATAAAGACAAGCCATCCAATTCGCAACTCTTCTAATTCCCAGAATCTACCCTTCCAGGCTTAGTGGGTGATAACTGCAGGAATGGAGGGACAGGTGCAGGGACCAAGAATATAAAGTTACCACCTTGCCTATCCCATGCTCGTTTCTTCTCCTCATGTCAGCGAACACTCGCCTAAAAGCCACAGCGCGAAATGAAAACCCATTTACGGGCTGATTAAAAAGTTGTAAAACAGAGGACGGCTCTGCTACACCTCCCTTCTGAGAGGTGGCGGTCCTTCTGGCCCCACCTTCCCTGTGTTCCTGCAGGCTCAGTTCCAGCCTCTCCCCAAACGGAACCTTCCCTCATCCCGGCCCTTCTCAGGGGCTCAGTTCTCAGCCACCACAGAAACTTACAGATGGCCCTGTAAGGTGCAGAAACGTGCTTCACGTTCGCTTCTTGAATGGGGGTAACTGAGGAAATCGAGGTGGGGGGCTGGGTCCTTGGGGACAGGGTGGAGCAACCGCAGGCGGACCTGCGGGTTTGCCATGTCCACGCCCACCCAGGGCGGGGAGAACTCGGCTCCGCTACGGCTCAGTCCCCGGAGCTGCGCTGGCGGAGTCCTGCGGAAGCCACCCTCGGTCTCGCCGTACTGTCCCCCATTCCAGCGGGTGGGGCCGGGTTCGGGGGAGGGATACGGGTCGCGCACTCTCGCCTCGCCAGGGTCTCCTCTACCCTGTACCCTGGCCCTGTGCTCCTCCTCCGCCCGGTCCACGAGGGAGAACGCCCGGCCGGGGCGCACCGCTGGCACGCGCAGCCCCCCAGGGAGACAGCGATG